ATTAGCAATTGCATTGCTGCAAAATATTAAAATATTGGTTTTAAATAATAAGCTAGATTTTTAATAAAAAATACATTTAATACAGAAATGAAACAAAAATTAGTAAGAAATAATTATCACAAAAAACAATAATTATCACAACAGATTATATATATGCCAAATTCTACACATATCTTCTTCATATATTTTTAATAAAGATTTTTTTTTTACTTTTACTTTGTTTAATTTTAAATTTAGATAAATGATAAAATCAAAAACATACAAATGGTTATAAATGTACTTATCAACATATAAAAGCATTTTAATAATTTTAAAATACTTTAATATTAATATCATTTTACGATTTAACTATCATTTTTTGTTTTTCAGTATCTATAAAAAATATAGATAAAAGGATATAATGAAGACTGAGTAAAGTTGTGCCTGGGTACGGTAGTGACAGTCGTCAAACAGCTGAACTAATTTTGAGATAAGATCCAAAGGGAGAAAGATGAAGTACGATTGTTCGAACAAGTTCCCATTATTGTGGGACTCAATAAGACTCAAGAGTCAAAAGTAAGTTTTCATGTTCGAATTATTTTAATAATAATTGTTAATTGTATATAGATAGATCACTTTTTGTTACAAATTTTATGAGTACGGTTGTGACATGTATTTTTTGTCCTTTTTCGGTGAAGATTAAGCAGATGACAAAAATCTAATTTAGTGAATACATAATACGAAAGAGAAACGGAAAATTCAATACAAGAAAACATTTTTTTTCGAAAAAAGGATGCAAGTCTTCTGATTTCTTCTGTTACTTGGTGGATTGGATTCTTGGCGGATCAGCTAATTTGAGATATACTTAGGTGCATCTAGTATTTGGCCTTAGCAAAAATCTGGTTTGACTTACGCTACCCCAAAGAAAAATGCCGTATGTTCATATTGGATTCAAGCCTACTTTATACATGTATACCATAATCTTTTTATAAGTTGTTAGATTCGTCTTCGGACCAAATAGCTAGTATAATTTTTCCAGGTAAAGTCGACTGTCCAAATGAAAGCCAAGGTGTTTTACATGTTCATTTTGATTATGAGTTGAATTCCATTGATTGTGATGGGCGGAACTCAAAAAGTTAACAAAATTTCAAATGCATTTAAAAAATGAATCATTATTTGATAATTTCCTAATACACTATTGATTAATTAATTTATTGTAATGTCCAACAAAAAATCAGCCAGCTTGATATCAAGCAGTAATGATATCAGATTCTCACTTGAAATTGTAGATCTCTCATATGGTATTAAGTGAAAATTGACTTTGGGGGTCGTTGCTGCAACATATATTTAAGTAAGGTGACCATATTTTTTTGCATGAAATCCGGGACGGAATGCGTGCGCGAGCGGGGGGGGGGGGGGGTTGGTGAGCTAAAAACTTATATGCACATTTTTTGGGTTCAAATTTTCTAGTTGAAATATATTTAAACATATATTGGCAATCAAAACATTTTTAACGGGATATTGCTTTTAGAAGAAGCCGGGACGCAAGGCGGAAAATCGGGACTGTCCCGGTCAATCCGGGACGTATGGTCACCTTAATTTAAGTCACTATTTGAAACATATTTAATATATTCTCATAAGAAGGAGAATGATCAACCAATGGATTGCCTTTTGGAAACACTATATTAAGGAATGCACATCACAACAGCAAATGAACCAATGCTTCTGTTTTTTTGTTATTTTTGAACAGCAATCAGAACCTAATAGTCCTATAAGCTGGTGTGCTGATTTGCCTAAATACTAGTCTGTTTAGCAGATGGCAACCCAATCAGTTGTCACATCATACAGATCCAGCGATATCGGTTAGAGCGTGGGCTAGCAGCAACTAGTCCCAGCTTCTCTGGTTCGATTCCCGCTACCGCCGTAGTCCAGCATTAGGCAGCTTGGATGTCAAATTTCCACTTGAGGTTATAGATCACAATATAATTCTAAGTGGAAATCGTCCTTCGTGGACATAGCTGCAACATCCAATCATATGTTAACTATTAGACGTAAGAGCTAATATCAAAATATCCAACACATAAGAGAATGGTTAATTGATGGTTTGACTCTCATGAAATACATAAGTAGTCATAAGTTCTTAACAAACAAACAGATTATAGAACATATAAGAGTTATGATAGCTGTTGAACCAATTAAAAAAAACATATATTGCTATGCAACAGGCTACTCAAAGTGGGTATCGAACTCGGAACTTCTGAATCAAGTCCCGTCGCTCTTAGCCGCTTACCAACGGGCGAGCCCTAGTTCTGAATTAGAAACCAATCAATTTTTTTTCAAAATGTTAAAATCATGTTTATCGCCCATCATATTACGTTTAATGAATACGGTAAATATATTATATAATAAACAAGTATTTTTTGACTTTTGCATTGAAGCTCTATAGAATATATACTCAAGACTCGGATTGCATCTCATTCTCAAGCATTAAAACGTATATACTCTGACGAAACAAAGGAACGAAATCTGTCAAGAATAAAATTTACAGTGCTGAAAAATAAATTAAACGACGTGGGCTGTGGGATGGAGTGATATTTCATGGTGTGTCATAGTGATAACTGACAATTATATCTGTAACATTTCCATCGAATCCAATTTCCGTGCGCGATATTGCTCAATTAACGGCCGCCCGTTTTTTCTCCTCTCAGCTACCGTGCCGCGAGTGGCGGCACGAATCGCCGTGTCTTCGCACGACGCGAACGATTGGAAGGGACACCGGAGGATAGTTTGGGATAATAAAAATATAATTATTTACTCATATGCATATTTACTTGTTTTTGGTGACTTTAATTAGGAAATATTATTATTTTTATATAGGACATTTTTTTTAACTTTAAGTTATGGTAATCGCAAAAAATCGAAAATGATTTTTTTTATTTTTCTTTACGTTTCAAAGGTTTCTGAACATTGTGGCATACCTTATATTTAGAAAAAATGGATGTATGTGTGTGTGTTCTTCCTGAACAAAACAGATTGTATTTAACGTGTAAATAGGAAAATGTAAAAAACGATAAAAAAGTAAACTAGTGGTGCATGGCATCGTGCCTTAAGGTAAATTGCTGCATCTTCCCGTACAGTAATAAAATATTAGAAAAATTTGAAATGTTTTTAAATATATTATTATAAATACTGTAACATTCATTCTTCGTATTTTATAGACAAAATATTAAAACATATAAATTTAGATTTTTATTATTATTATTATTTTTTATAACCAATCTGAACCTTGGGTTCAATGAGGTTATTGGCTGATGGGTGTAGGGCTTTTAGAAATTCCCCCAGTGGGGAATTTCCTTACATAAATATATTGATTGTTAATTTATTGAATCTTGCGGCCTGAATCTTGTCTCATAATTCTATGAATTATATAAACTGAATTTCAATGTTAAAATTATTTATAGAGAATAAAAGTGAATAACTCTCGTTACTTTTACTTTACGACAAGGTTCATGCCCTCCTATTAGATTGAATGGTGATTTGGTTCCTGTATCCAATGTTGTTAAATATCTGGGAATACATGTAGATAGAAGACTAACCTGGCATGAACATATTTTAAAGAAGCGTCACCAGCTTGAATTAACACGTAGACAACTTAATTGGTTAATGGGCTGAAAATCACAAGTCACAATAGAAAATAAACTCCTAATATACAAGACAATTATTAAACCAATATGGTCCTACGGCCTACAACTATGGGTGCGGCCAGTAAATCGAACATAACTATTCTACAAAGGTTCCAAAATAAAATTTTGAAAGAAATCGTTAACGCTCCAAAATACGTTCCCAATTGGTTGATACATCAAGATCTCACAATTCGAACTATAGAAGAAGAAATTAGTCTTTACTGCAAAAGCTCGTCTAAGTCGTCATCCAAACCTATTAGCGTTAGATCTGCTCTAGCCTTCACCGCCAAAGCGTCTCAAAAAAGAATCTGCAATAATTTACTACAAAATATAACATAACATCTAAGAAGGTGCTATTGCAGGATAGCGATCCTTCTCACGCAGTCAAATAATATATAACTGTAACAATATGGCTGAATGTACTTTGTGTAGCTTGCTATGAAAAAAAAATAATAAAAAAAATTAAATTATTGTAGATTGAATTCAAATTAACATCCAAATTATATTCGATATTCAAAAAATGTTTTTGAAAGCAAACAGTTTTTGAAATTATTCAAATCGAATGCGTCGTTCTCGCAAAAACTACCATTTTTTACACATTTACCTCCGTATCTTGGCTGGACTTTTTCTGCCAAAAACTAATAACCATTTCACCCCATCTTCACAAATTAAATGTTTTCTGAATCATTTCAATCGGATGCCCGGTTCTCGTAAAAAAACAAATTTCCATTGTTTGCACTCTTTGCTTCGTGTCTCGCAAACGGCTGGGCCGACCTTTTCCAAAAACTAATCAGCACTTTTTCAATCATTCATATTGGTTGAGCGGTACTACCGAAAACGTCGACGAGCAATTGTATCAGCACATACTTACACACTCACTCTTACACACACACGTACATACACGCATTTCATTTTTTCTTAGGTATGCCAGAATGTTCAGAAACCTACGAAACATGAAGATATGCAAAAATTTTTATTTTCCATTTTTGGCTCAAGACTGTAATACCTTACAGGAAGTTAATAATTCAGAACAAGTTTTAATATAATATTATGTTTTCCTGTTTTCTAATTCATTCAAAAATGTACAACAAAAATTTGATATACTTTATAAAATAACTAAATTTGATATACTTTATAAAATAATTAGAAGAAGAACCAATGAACACTCGGATTTTATATACAGTTTTGTGCACGGCGTGTTTTCATTAAAATAAAAGAATAAAATTTAAAAAATATATATTAAAAATTTAAGTCTTTTGGGACTTAAACATTTATATTAATTACCATTTTAAAAACTAATATAAAAATAATTTAGTAATATCTAAGTGGGTACGTGAACATGACATTCTTGCAATGGGCGGAATAATTTGTCTTGTGGCGAACACTTTTAATTATCGATACGTTAATGTTAAAATGGATATTGTGTAGAATTAGTTCTATGCTTGGTCCAGTTTTCAAATATCAAATCAAGTATGCGTATCTTGGTGAGACTATCGTGTGCTTGAGCTTAGCGTTGTTGTGTGTTTGGTAGCCGATGTAATTTCCAGGAGCTATTGCCAACTGCTGTTTTAGGGTTCTGCCAATTGCCACTATTGACGGGGAGTGGTCGGCATCGGCTGTCCATAAAGCTATGGTAAAGGTATAATTTCATTCAATGATTATATATTTATACAAATATATATATATATATATATATATATATATATATATATATATCGGCAATAAATCTATGCAAAAAAACTCATAAAATTTATTATATAAATACTCACCCTGAATATTTTCTTTTAATTATGTAATAATACTTGTGTAGATCAATATTAACACTTTAGGGACGGCTGTCCACCTGAGTGGACAAACATTTCCTGTGAGGCACATGCTATTTTATAAACAATGACTCAGTTTGCTTCGAAAAGTTGAATAAATTACATATAGCAGTGATAAACAGTGTTGTGTTTTGAAAATAATTTTAAGTAATTTTAGAAGTATTTTTAGCCCTGTTCTTTGCTATATAGTCTTTTTTTAATATTTAAAACGACCGAGCGCTTTTAAATATGGCAAAATTTTGTGAATTAAGCAGTAGTGAGTTTCAAATAGACATTCATACAGACAAATTTTACGAAATTACTATTCGCACCGAAAATAGTGATGAATGTGATGATGATATTATCCAACCAACAGAAAGAAGAAGAATTTCGACAAATTAAATGAAGAGCGGAAAGATATTAGCGAATGTGCCGATTCTCCTTCAATAATCGAGTTTGACATACATAAACTAACACCCCGACTACAAATACCAAGCAATATAAGACATCCAATAGATTATTTTACTTTATATTTTACAAATGAATTATTAGACAATATAACAGAAAAAACAAACCATTATGGCAGCACAAAAATGAACAAATATACTGACTAATCAGTGGCATATTCTAAATGCGAGAGAAAGAAAAACGGATCGTATTGTCTGTTCTGACAGAGAAGCACCAGGATGAAGGCGGCGGACAACATTTTATTGCAAATCATGTCAAAATCAATCAGCTATGCATTCTGGAAATTGTTTTGAACGTCACCATTCTTTATAAAATGATTAAAAATAAATTAATATTATAAATGTATGTCTTTCAATAACCACAAATTTTTATCAAACAAATTGCATAACATACACAATGAAATCAAGTTTACAGCCGGTAGATTGTTTTGAAATCGGTGCCGTCCCGCAAGTGTTAATAATATTTGCTAATAAAAGAATAAGAACTATATATTACCTACGGTGTCACCGTTTTCACTTAAATTCACCGAAGCACCGCAAATGTATAGTGAATAATCAAATATTTCACCTACCATGCACAACACCTGAAAAAATAAATACAAATTATTCAAACCAAAATATTAGTTAAATTAATAAATAAAGAGTTATGGATTGCATTTTCATTTGATTTTTTTCAATAATTGAATCATGTGATTTGTAATGAGTATTGTTAGATTCGATAATTAAAAGTTTCCCATACCCCCGAAATGTAGACAACATTTATAAGTAAAAATTTAAATAAATATTTTTTTCTGAGAAAAGAAAGCTAATACAATGAAACCTTAATTATGTTTCCAAAATAAAAAAATTATTAAACTTTCAAACTTTTCGAATTTCAGTTTGACTCATTCTCAGTTGAAAAAACTCCAAAATATAATATACTGAATATTGTAATTAATAAAATAATTAGGTTCCGGTTTGGCCGGGACAGTCCCGTATTTCTACCTTGTGTCCCGGGTTTTTCTAAAAGCAATATTTGTTCCGGATTTAGATTTTTTGTCCCGATTGAAAATTAATAGTTAAATTAACAAACATTATGAAAACAAACGAACAAATTCTAAATTATTCGAATTTTGAAAAAAATTGAATAGAACATATAGATCGTAATATATAAGACATATTATAATAGCATAGATAAGAATGTATTAAGGAAGTCCACAATTCTGATTAAAAAAAAATTATTCATATAAAAAAAAATTATATAAATAGCATATGTTATTTAAAAGACCAAACCCCCGTCCCGGATTAGCATAACCAAAAATAACCGCCCCAGTTATGACTTAAAAAAATAAGGTCATCTTAAAAATAACCAACAATCATATTATACAGTAAAGTAAAACTAATGTCTAAAAAATTTTTTTTTGCTGAAGATGAAGGATCTCGAAACGTATGAAAGTCTAATATAAACAACATATATATTTAACATAAAAACATATAAATTTAATTAAAAAAATCAAATTAAAAAAAATGAACTCTTGTAAACGTACGCATAAGTTGATCATAAAATACGCATAAAATACGTCTTAAATTAATATAATGGCATAGATATAAACGTTGTTGATATAAGGCACGATGCCATGCGCCCCACTACATTCGGTATGCAATAATGCTATAATAATCATAAAATGTTCTTACCGTGTTAAGCCAAGTTTCGTGCAAATCCATATCTCGTTGGGCTACATCCAAATGGATAGCCCACTTTCCGCCTCGAATGTTAGCAGGATCCTCCCACACTGGTCTTATTCCTGGTTTAAAGATACCAAATGCACACCCGTTTCCTAAGTCGTGGGCCAATTTCACATGGTTATGACATCTATGATAATAGAAGAGGAATAAAATAAAATAAAATGATTAAAATTGTTGACAGCTAGGCAGATTTATTGAGAACGCCTAGGTTGACAGTTGAAACTCACGTCCAAAAATCTTCGACAGTGTCAAAAGTTACAACGGGTACTTGATGCAGAGAATAGTTGGTGTCTACTCCTTTTTGATAGTGCCACAACGTCCAAGGCCTAACTAGGGCATGTTTAAACATTACTGGCTGGTTCTCGAATACAGATGATCTGGTTCTGTACGATGCCAGAGCGTTGAAATAATCAAGATGATTCTGAAAATATTATTGTTAAATAAAATTCTATATTGATTAAGTAAATGATGTTTACCTTCTGTGGATTATTGTTATCCATTGCTGCCCGAAAATATTCACATTTGTTGTTTTGTGCTAGATGCTTCGATTCGATGAAAAACAAAGGTTCCGAGCCTACGTGATCAGCAATCGATTGCACATTGTTTTATGTCGATGCCTACTGTATTGTTATAAGTGACATTTAGTAATTCCGTTAAGGCAAATAATAATTTACAGATTAATTGAGAATTAAAATTTGTGTTTAACAGCAGAAAAATATAAAGATCTCCTTAAATTATTTTCCTAATTAGTGAGGTGAAGTATGAGCTGTTTATGTCAGTTGTCAATAATGCTAAATAAAAGAGTGTTTTTAAAAGCAGTGACATTTCCATCGAACGTAATATCGTATATAATATTTCCATTAATTCCATTTTAGTATTTGATTACTTAAATAATAAATAAATTAATAAATAAATAAATTGATTAATTAATTACTAAATGAAATTAGTTTTCAAAACAAAGATAATATGCAGCACTCATCAGATTATTTTCGTGAAGTTTGAATTATTTTGTGGCAGCTGGCAATAATTTTAAGTAAAAGAGTGTTTTTAAAAGCAGAATAGTATTATTTATATTTTGTACATTATGGCGCTAAATGTGTGTTAAATACTAGATGAATAGCCAAAACCTACCTAACAAAGAACAAAAGAGATGAGCAAGTCTTAATTAGTGAAGGTGAATGTTAAAAATTAAGCAAAAGTTAAAAATTAAAACTAATTATAAAATACTTGTAATAAACTATAATGCTTAATCAATCGCAACAATTTTGATACGAAATAAGACCAGGCAATGCATTTGTATTTGCAATTCATATTATTCTATCATATTATTTTTTTTTCAAATTTTATTCTGCAATCTGTTTTTTTTATAAACAATAAGCAAAGACTGCTAACAATAATATTGTACAATATTTTTTTAAAAAAAAGTAAATAACATTTTGATAACAATTATGGGTCGTTCAATAAATGGCTTCTTTATCGTTTAGCGATAAAAACTTTGATCTTGCAACCAAAGGATTTATTTTCAATACCCATCTCGGAAAGTTTGATATCAAGCAGTAATGTAATCGGCTTTCACTTAAAAATATAGATCTAAAATTTGTTTCGAATTGAAAATAGCCTTTCCTCAGCATTTTTGCATCGAATTAAAAATATATCATCCGTACCGTACTTAAAATAAAAATATATCAAATATAATTATGGAAATCTTAAATTTCAATACAACCAGAACTCTTGAAAAGTTTCATAAGACTTTTGCCATTAAAAAATGGATTAAAGATCAAGAATTGGTTTTATTATTTGTTCAACTCTGTAAAATAAAAAGTAAAAAATAAAAAGTAAAATAATGGAGTTGTTTAAATGAAGAAAAATAGTTGAGCTATATTAAATTTCTGGTTGGAACTATCTAGTTCTACCACAATAAAAAATGTCCCAAAAATTGAGGATATATAAAAATGTAGTTTTATGGTTATTTCACAATTATGGCTATTCCTAAATATAGAAAAATAAATTATTCAGTTATAATGTAATGAATTTGAAAAACAGGTTGATTTCCAATGAAAATATTTCTTGGGCATATAATTCATTTATAATTAAGGAGTTAATTTTAAAAATAGTACAAGGCACATTAACCTTTCAATATCAAAAATATTTCAAAATGCTACTTAAATATTTAACTATAAAATTTAAATTTAGGATTTTAATATGCCAACCTAATATTGGAAACAAAAATTACTTATACCGTTTTCAAATTTATTTATTTTATTATTTTTTATGTAAATTTGAACAACATTCTTTAAGAGGGTATTCTTGTTTAGAGACATAAATCTCATGCAATTTTTGAAAGGTCGTAAAAATGGGCAAACAATATTTTTACTACATATTTTTTTTTCAAAGTTATTATGTATATAATATATATTAATTAATGTCTTGAAAATATATAAAAAAAAGAGCAATTAGAAATAGTTATTAGGTTATAATTGTAAAAGATTGTGAAGTCGGGGGTTTCGAAAAATTGGCACCTAATTATACCCATGATTTTAGCACATCAAATATTTCGAAGAAAAAGATTTATATAAATTATTAATTTAGAACACTATCGCTTTCGTATGAACTATGTACAACCCAAAAATATTAATATAACTGTTAAGATAACTAATCAATTATCGTCTATTTGATGCGAACGTCTTTCATTTAATTTTAATTAAGATTCTTCTGAGCTTCTGAAAAGATGGAATTTATCCGCTATATCGGCTGAACTAATCTCAAAACAATTACATACAGTAACGTATGAGGCATGCGTCGCAGTGGGTAAACCATCCATTTAATATGCTAAACAACGTTTGCCGGACCAGCTGGTATATATATATATATATATATATATATATATATATAAATCTTTACCATCTCATTAAAAACATTAAAAGGGAAGCAATCAAGAAAAGCAATCGTATAATATTGTTAACATCGTGCATGTGTTGTTAAGAGCCGTGCGTTACATGTTACATGTCTTAATGTTCTCATTCGTCATAAATTTTATTGCTTTTATATTTATGCAGATATGCATAATGTGGTCGGTTACTACATCGAACGCATGTCCAATTCTGTTCGTTTTATTTCGGTCATAACTCATCAGCACTGACACTGTCAAATTAATTTCAAATTAAAATAATAATGTTTTTAAAACGTGCAAAACATCATCAACGTTGGGTCTGTGTTTGTGGTCTGGAGAACGTACGAAAAGCAACGAATTATTTATTAACTTTCGTGGGGTAAGTTATATAAATCGAAAATGATTTTTTTTTAATTTTCTGATCACTGTGGAATGCATTAGAGAAAATTGATATTTGTGTTTGGTATACATGCATGTACAATCAGATATATTATTTCGTTCATGTTTCGAGAGGTGGGCTAGCACCAACTAGTCCCAGGTTCGCTGGTTCGATTCCCGCTACCGCAAACCTGACATCAGGCAACTATGATGTCAAATTTCCACTTGAGGTTATAGATATCAAAATATAGCCTCGAGTGTGAAAATCGCCACTCGTGGGTATAGTTGCATATATAATAAAAATGTCAGCAATACTTTGAGTATAGATAATTAGTCATAACTGGACTGGACAACTACTGGGTTGCCATCCATTTAAGATTCATATAATAAGAAAAGTCTAAATAATTACTGAATGTCCTAAAGTGTGACAGATTGTAGTTAAAATAAAAAATAAAAAATGTTTTTGAGAGAATTATACAACCGATTTGAATGGTTTAAAAATTATTTGAGTCATACAAACGGGTAAGTCATAAGTCAATTTGCTTTTTGAAAAGGCAGTCTCAGTTGTTTCCTAAAAAAATTGTATGTAGAAAAAACATCAGAATTTGCCTCTTAAGGTTTTCAAGAAAATGAATCAACCTAAAAACTAATCTTCAACTCTTTTAATGGAACCAGAATGTTTTTTAATCATTGGTCTAATCATTAACAAAATATTCTGGTTGTTGATTAGTTTTTGGAAAAGGCAGGTCCAGTGGGTCAGAACATAGGATCCTTTTTGGTAATTGGACATATAAACAATAAATTTCAATAATATGCATAATTTTTGAGTTCCGTACCAATAATTTTATTTTAAAAATTTCAGTTAAAATATTCTTTTACAAAGTTAAAAATGGCTAATTTGGCTTCATAGATCTCTACTGATCATATAGTTTTACTCTAAGAAATTTATCTTTATTAGTTTAAACGAAATGAGACTTATATGCTATTCTTATATCTTTTCTAAAAGAGAATTTGATAAAGAATAGTAAACTAACTTCCTTTATATTATTATTTTTTATGGGCTTGTCTGTAGGTAAGCGGTTAAGAGCGACGGGACTTGATTCAGAGGTCCCGGGTTCGATACCCATTTCAAGTAGCATGTTGTCAGGCAGCAGTGACAACGATTTTCACTCGGAAATGTGGATAGTAATAGGTTTCTAAGTGAAAATAGCCATAGATCCGGCATTGCTGCACCAATAAAAAAATGTCAGTTATTAGATCAATTCTAGTCATATTAGATGGTATATCATCTAAAAATGCGAAGTAAGGAGAAGTTTCTGCTCAACAGCTTATAGGACTTAAGGTTCTGATTGTGATTAAAAATACATGAAAAAAATATTTTGATTTTTTAACGAACAGCAATCAAAACAATCCTTTTGCGTTCTATGAGCTATTGTGGTGTTTTTCTTTATAACCTACCATTATTAGATGGCAAACCAGTTGTAGTCTTGGTAATGAGATAATTATTAGATTATATTTAGATTAGATATTTCTAATATATATAATTATATATATATATATATATATATATATATATATATAATTATTGAAATAATGAGTAGTACTGCCCTAGAGCAAGCCAGTGAGTTGAGTTAAACTTTAACTCGATTAAGGGAAGAATAGTGTGAGAGATTTTCCATTGCCATTTTACGACTCAGTGCTCGAAATCCGCTACTTTCAATTGGAAACATATATTTGATCTATATTTTCTAGTAAAAAAGGACATAGCTACTACACGATGTCAAGTTGTCCAAAGCAGGATTCGAACTCACGACCCTCCACATGAATCTGTGAGCTAAACCATTACATCATGGAACACCCTAAATTTTGACATTTACAACTGTATGCAATTTCTCAAAGTGATAAATTTCAATTATCTAAATCATGACTCGTTGATAAGAGAATTGTTACAATATCAATTCAATAATTTCCAGGAAGCGTTCAGGAACTGATCACAATTTATCGTCTAAAGATGTTTAATTGTTACCGCACTGGTCGTATTTGTAATCCGACATGCAATCTTATAGTTTATTACTCCAGTATCTGGTAGGTTTCGAATGCGATATTACATATGTATTATTTCCCATACCTAATCCGCAGTCTAGGAGTCGGTATCCAGTTTTGCTGGAGTCGCTAAGTTCAACTTCTGGTCCAAATGCCTGGAAAATATGATATTTTTAACAAATCATGTGATTTTTAAGATCATATTTAGACATTTACTAAACTATGGAATTAAGGAAAGTTGAATCAATTTTTCTTAGATGCCACTTTAATTTTATATCAGTTTAGCACGAAAAACTGTATGTGCTATTAATTGTTATAAAATTTTTATCCTAAAGGTAGTATTTAAGTAAGTAATAAGTTTATTATGCGGTTACATCATTGGTATTTTCGTTAATTTTAGTCGATATTAGAGGTAGGATACTGCCTTCTTAATTTATTAACTCAAATGGAAGCTTTGG